CGCGCGTTCAGTGGGGCACTTAGTAGTGGCGCGAAGTTTCGTGCTTCGAATTTGTGTCAAAATATCCGATACCACAGGCTAGCTTTTTGTCTGATTCCAAGTCGAAAAGAAGACCTTTTGCTTTCCAACGGAGATGCGTCACAAAACGTCAGGTTGAAGTATTAATTGTGTCTAAAAATACGTCATAGTGATGCGAATTTTCATCATGTTGACGGTTTGTGACCAATCTCTGTTAGTTGGCTGGAGGAACAGTCACAAATATTAAATTTACGACACATAATGGAAAATTTTCTGAACATTAAACATACTATTTTCACTGTGCTTACTATCGCGTTTTATCTGCTAAGAGTAAATGGGCAAAAACATGTGATGCAGAGAAGTTTTTTTGTATTTCGCAGTGGGTGCTTTACGGATTGCTAGGTCATGCCATTATGGTGGTTTGTTGTGAGTAATGTGGCCGGATGCGATGGTTTCACAACAATCTTTTATTGATGGTCTTACAAGGTATACCATTCGATGTATGGCGCGTTTACACTGCTTACCACTAGATAGAAGGCGCTGGAGAGCGGCGGTCTCTACATCCACTTTGCACTGAGTTTTGTTTTAATTTCAGGTAAACACAATATACAAATGAATGAAAGGTTCGTGAAAAAACAACAAATATGGCTAACAATCATGCCTTCATTTTAAAACCTTTGACATAAAATCACACATAAGTTTTGATTTAGCATATATTGAAACTTTTTAAAAACAACCAACTCCAAAAGCCGTGCTTAAAAAAGGTAATGTGTGGGGCTGCATCAGCTTAAACGGGAAGCAGACAGCAGACACCAGACAGCAGATAGTAAATACAGATTATTTCAAAACTAAACGTCCAATTTCGTCATGAAATCTTATTATTATAATTCAAATTTTATTTTCTGAACTTAAAAAATATAAATATGCATACAAATCAGGTGTAATCGGGAGATGCTGTTCGCTGTCGTGCTATCATGCTGTTCCGACAGCTCCGACAGCACCTCCCGATTTGACCTGATTTGAGCACATGTTTATAATTTTAAAGTTCAGAAAATAAATATGAGAGACCAACAAAAGATTTTCATGCTAAAATATTGATGAAAATTGGTATAACCGCCGGTATTTACTATCCGCTGTCTGCTGTTTGCTGTCTGCTGTTTGCTGTCTGCTTCCCGCTTAAGCTGATGCAGCCTGGGTGACCTTGGGATGAGTTGTGGCTGAGAGCGCCTGGTAGGTAGGCGGGCCCGCCGAACAGACTCGCCGTGCGCCCCCGACATGGCGGCGGTACCCAGTGAGTAGGTGACCTCAGGACGAGTTGTGGCTGAGGGCGCCTGGAGGGTGGGTGGGCCCGCCAAGCAGCCCTCGTCGTACGCCCGCTGCCGTACCCAGTGAGTGGGTGACCCCGGGATGAGTTGTGGCTGAGGGCTAAGTTGTGGCTGAGCGCCTTGAGGGTAGGCAGTCCTTTCCAAGCTGTTTTTGTGTTGGTGTTTACGCATCCGGGGTCTTTCGGCTCGTCACGGACTATGTGCAGAGCATGTCCTTACCTTCTGGTTACACCCTGAAGGCTTTGGATTCCATATTACCCGAAAAAGGGTGTTCTATAGTCGGGTCGGATTAAGCTGACTCTGGCCGCCGGGTTTGGGGCCACAATTTTGTGGCCACAAGTAGGAACGTGCAGAAAACTTAGCATAAGTCATTGGAATAGGGCGATGAAAAGAAGAGATGAGACAATCAACTTGATTTATTTGAAAATAAAACTTAACAACCATGTTAAATAGAGTATTTTGTATGAAGGCGTTTCTAATTTTTTGCAAGTAGTGTTCGACTTGGTAACCCTTTCAAAAGAGCTCATGTTCATTGATGTGATAAGAAAGGAACTTCTACTTTCGTCACTCAAGGAGTTATTTCATTTGTCGGCTTGTAGAGATTACAAAAATGATCAGTTGTCTTTACACTCTTATGCCGGGTTTTTGATGGATTTTCTTAGTTATGTCTGATATATATGTTATCTCGAATGGGATGTTTACGAGGCTCCACAAGGTGCAACATCAGCGAACTATTAAATTTGGTTAATAAACACAGGAAACCTTGCTACATAACACAAGGGTAACAGGATGCTGGTTGCCCATGAGAACCACGAGAACTAATGCGAAACCGTGAAAACCCAACCTCGAAAGCAAATGCTGGATTTAGACTTGTTAAAACCTCGGCTGCCATACAAATATTTGATAGCAAATTATTATTTGAAAATATATCTAAATAGTTAAATCTGAAACGAATGATTATATACTTCCAAGTATATTCTTTTAACACTGTAAAATGCTCGTAAACTATATTCTTTGCAACGTTGCAAAGAATTTTCTAGGTTTTCATTGCAAAGAATCAGTTTGTTCTGACGAAAACAATTTTTTGCAAACTGTCAGGATCCTTGGCAACAATGTGTTCGCATTGCAAAGAAATAGTTTGCAAGACTGTGAACAGCTACTTCGTATTAAAATGCTCCACAATTCTTTACGAGCCGCAAAAGAAATCGTTTGCAATAGGAACCTATTATTTGCAAGCAGTTTTCAGTGTAAGGTTTGTACGTAAGGTGTACGTAACGTTCACAGACCACCGTAAACACCCATAAAAAACCATATACGACATAAGCCAACTGAAGATCTGACAGAACATAAGAAAGTCCATCGTGAACATGGCATAAATAATGGAATTGTGAATTATGGTAAGTATTACATCAGGATAGTAAACTTAACATTTTACCTGGGTCACATAGTGATCGGAACTTAAAACGTTCATGGCCCTTATGATCATATGTATTATTGTAATAAATACTTTTACTATACCATACACCGCAACACATGTTTCTGTTGGCGGGAGCTTTGGAATGATTTACAATAGAGGAATACTTTCATTGTCATTAACATATACAATACAAGCTGGTAAGAATAATTTTGTAGTACATAGTATAAATAAGTAATCTTGTAATATTTCCCCAACCAGCAGAGCCATTTTTCTTTGTAGGTAGCTAATGTGAGTCTATAGGCTGATTTAACTGATGTTTAACAGTGGTTCATGGAAGAGGTTGAAAAATGTACTGCTCAGCAAATTTATATTATATTTACAAATGTGCAAGACCTCACCTCATTGGCTGAAAACATTCAGTAAATCGCGTCCATTCACTTTTATAGATATTTTTTCAATTTAAAAAAAAAAAACGAGGAACATACATCTTTTCTTTAAAATAATTCAAGTTTACAGTGGTACTTCTCTCAAATTTGTGAGACTAGTGTACAAAAGCCACTAAGTGAAAAGATCAGTTTACTTTCATAAGAATTTCTTATAGGTATACATAAATTTAGGACTCTAAATAAAGAATCAAAATAGCTTAAATTCAATCTGAAATCCACCTATTTAACTATTCTCAATCTATCAACAGATATGTTCTTTTAAGGCCCAGACAGAGGCCTTTTGTCCGCGCCCGCGGTCTTAGTTTTACGCCCCGATAAAGGAAGCTATTATCCGCTCATTGGCGCTATTTATCGTTCTCTAACCATGTGGCAGTCCCTAGACCCACCCAAGCAACTCTGATTTTTTAAATGGAAAATTAATAAATAAAAAAAAATAATCAGAAGCAGTTCGACATGAGTCTCATGTCAATCCGTTCATACAAATTTGAGATAATTCGGGTGTATCGTTGACATTTAACAAAAACCTGAACGCCAAATACAACCTGATCAAACAATAAAGAGCAATTTCACAGATGTGAGAAAACAGTAGCCGGCCCCAGATCGCCTGAAGGCAGGAACTTTAGGCAACAGAACGTTTGACGCTTAATCTTCCCTCGCGCTAACTCGAAGGATGTTTATGTTTTTGTGAGGGCTGCTGACGACTGTGATTTTCAAATGTACTGCCTTTCGTTTTAAGATTAAATCAGAAATGTTCGACAACAAAATTAAATGGCATAAAATAAGCTACATTTTTGATAAATTATGTGAATGTCACACAAAAACTGTCATTTTAAGCGTTGTTTCTTTTACGGGGGCTTTTAACGCATCGGCGGTGGAATTCGTTTACTTGCTTATTCACTAAACGTGAAACAAACCCATTCGTAGTCAAATGTTCTGGTCACAACTAAAGGGGTTTCTATCTTCTCACTTTCCAGTTCCATATGCAGGATAATTTTTTAAAAAATGCGGTTGTAAATACAAAAAAAAAAATTAAAAAAATCACAAGAAAACATTAAACACTTATTGCGTGGAATCCAATTACGTACACCTTATAACAGTTGAAGCTCTTAATTTGTCTAGATATTTTGTACATTCGTTTACGAAAATCATAAAACTTGACAGATTGAAATGATTGGATTTTTATCCCTCTGAGTAGAACTTCAGGGTGAAAATATTGGTGCGATGAGAAAAATTAGAACAGTATTCTGTAAGCTATGATAATTTTCACAAAGGCAGATGCTGCTATGCTGTAAACAAGTAGCTATCTAGACTGTTTTAACACAGGTTGCCACAGACTGAGGAACAAAAAAAATAATTCATAATCTGCTATGATGAACACAGAAAGGCTTTAAAACAAGAAATCATACGGATATTATTGTACTAGAACTTAAAATTATTATATACAACCTTAATGCTATTTTTTGTAGATGTAATGAGGCTTACAATACCTTATAGGCATGATTGTTATTACTTTAAATAGTATTACGATTTTATTGCAGTCAGTACACTCCAGTTTTTGTCAGGAATCTATTTAGCCACGATTTGATTGACAAGAAAGGCAGCATTGTGTTTGGTATCGTTGTAACCTGCAGAGATTCATAGCTCGAACTGTTGTGCAGTACTGAGACTCGTCTCGACATTCCCCCCCTGAAAAAGAACAACAGATGCTTAGATTCGAAGTCTATGCTATTGAAATGCTCAAGATCAACAAAGAGCCGAGAATCGGTGTATCAAACGCCAGACACATGAAGGAGAAAACTCCCTAAACCGTTCAAAAACTTGTTAATTACCAGCGAAAGTTTAGTTAGTTTTGTTAGCAGCACATTTTGTTTTACAAATGTGTCGTCAAATAAAAACATTGCAACGCGCCCTAACAAGAGCCGATCTGCTGCGGCGCGCCGAATACAAAAACGCCGATCTGCAACACCCCGGATACACAAAAGCCTATCTGCAAAACAAGGGGTGCAGCCCTGCTTCACCTATGCGTGGTTTGCAAGTTACTAGGAGACATTAAGGACAATCTGAGCACACGGAAAGAATCGTACAGGCATGTCGTTTAGTTATGGACCGCAAAAAGTTAGGCAGAATTCGTTAACGAGCGTATCCAGAGTAATAAACACGCGTTTTAAGGTATCCCGCAACCCACGTTCTGCAGGTTGGTTATTGTGTATTCGGAGCGTTGCAGATCGGCTTTTGCGGGGGGGTTTCCACTCTCCCAAATCGTGGCCCGACTACTCCCTATTTCCTATATTACCTCTATTACCTATGTATTACCTCTCTATTACCTCTATTACCTCTCTATTACCTCTCTATTACCTCTATTACTTCTATTACGTAACCATTACGCGTCTATTACACGACTATTACAAGAGCGATACATTGCCTTCACCGTCGGATTTTTGCTCTAGATTATCGTAGCAGCACCAAAGACTGCCAATAATGTCGTCCGCCGGCCGGTGCGTCGTACTTCCCCCTTACCCCCTCTCACATCCGTCTATCCGAGCGACTTCTAGACAACACGAAGTATCGCCAAAATCGGAGGTACACAATGTCTCAGAGACGTCGTGGACAACAATAAAAACACCTTTACACCTTTTCCGTTTACATTACCTTTAAAGGAGGCTCTTATCTCCCAAAAATTATTTTTGGTACATTTGTCAATAAAATTGTTTCTGCGCCACTGTAGGTGTAAGGGATGGAACCTGAGGGTATATTTCTCATCACAATGGATGGTTTAACACATTAACAATATTCGAATGAAATGAACATAACTTTGAATGAACATAACTTTGAAGTGGTCCCAAGTGTGTACCTTTGTTTTCATAGGATTTCTTCTTTTAAAGTTATCGCGCAGGATTTCTCCGGAGAAAGTGGTGATAAAAAACTGGTCAATAGCTTGTTTGTTTCAGTTCATCAAGGACTACAGAATGGCAAAGGGGCTTAACTGAATTTTGAAAAATAATTTTTTTTCATAATACGTGGCTTTTGAAAATATATTTTTTTACTCAAAATAGAGAATAATTTTTATTTTTCAAAATTCAGTTAAACCCCTATGTCAATCTGTAGTCCTTGATAAACTGAAACAAACCAGCTTCTGACCAGTTTTTTATCACCACTTTCCCCGGAGGAATCCTGTGTGTTAACTTTAAAAGAAGATATCACATGAAAATAAAAGTACACACTTGGGACCTCTTCAGAGATAAGTTCATTTCCATCTGATATTGTTAATGTGTTAAGCCATCCCTTGTGTTAGTGTCCCGAGGGCCACACTCAGGACCCCCGCATTATCATGAAACACTAGTACCGCATAGAACACAAATTGCGTTAATTAATCAACACGCAAGATCAGTTGTCTTGTAAGTCAATGTTCCCCAACCACGGCCTACCTTATTCACACATTTATTTAAACTTTTCTTTGGAAGTTGAAAAAAGCCACCACTGTTATTGATTTATTACAACTAGAACAGAAATCAGTTAGTTTTTAAGCTGAAAGTGGAGTAAAATCTGCTCTGGACGCAATTCAGTAAACAGGATCTGTGACTCTTAGCATCATAGGATTCTATGATAGTCTCGATGATAGTACGGACCTTGCCCACACGGAGGAACCTTGCAGGACTTCATGACGACAGGGCGAGGCTGTTCGCGGCAAGCGTTGCCGGCTGCCTTCTTCGTCCCAAACCACACGCACTGGAGAATGCGATGTTTCACTCCGGATGTGCCGCATCTTGCTGCACACTGTAACCCAACGAAAAACAATTAATGCATTGGAAATGATGAAGTGATATGTATCACGTCTCAACAGAGTGACGGACTTTATTGTTGCCCAATGTATTCAACCGTGTACACCCAGAAAGCCGTATTGGTTCACAAGCAATAATTCTTTTAACCGAACGAAGAGCATTTTGCAGTTGATTTGAGAGAATTTCTCTTGTGCTAAGATAAAAACTCTTGATTCAAGCACAAAATGAAGTCATTGAATTAAGCGTTTATTGCATGGGGTCCAAGTTTATTTGGTACATAAATCAAGCGTTTTTGTCTCAGTACAAGAGAACTTGTTCTCAACTCAAGTGTAAAATACTCTCTATTCGATAAAGAGAATTTTGACCTTGCACGAAGAAAACGGATTTCTGAGTTTACTCGTACTCGTGCGTAATAATGTAAATCCACCACTGAGAAAAATTTGAATTGATTTATATACATCCACCTCGTCAAACGCGCCATACGAATGGAACGGTGCTGTACAGAATTTACTTTAGCAAATTTCTAACTAAAGGGGGAAGCCCTACTTAATTTTAGCATATTGACTAACCCGAGTGAACCTTTCACTAACAGCTTTATCAGAATTTTACTTAAAAATAGGAAGAACCTGTCTTACAATTACAGATGCGGTGTTTACCGGTCTGGACTTTCTAATAAACCAATAATAACAATACTACGTGAAGATTTCGTAGTTATTGACATATAATTGAGCTCCTTAATGTCCCCACCGGGGAAATAATACTCGTTCTTTTTACCGACGTATGGATTTAAAAGATAATGATATTAAAAACGAGTAAAAGTATCAGACACTTTACACTACCTCTGACCACTCGCCGACTCTCCACGTTCCCTTGCAGCGGTCGTTGTAACACTCAAGTCGGACAGGGGGCTTCTCCGACTCGTCGCACAGGGTGGGTTCTACCACTGTATCATTAGGCAACTTGCACTCAACGTCTCTACGCTGCATAGCTGCAAGACAATACAACACGAGTGAGCGATGCAACGGGCATGCAGTTCTATGCACACCTACTGTTAAGACATTTTCTCACAATTCCAGAAACCAAAGTAATGTATCCAGAATTTTGTAAGAGAGTTAAAATAAAATCAAGATGCAAGGTTTCTATTACAAATCTCTAGAAATAGTGAGTGAGCGCCGAAGCTCAGGCAAGCCCACCAAAGCGGGTATGCGCGTTGATTGCCTACGGCGTGAGCGCTAAGGGCGCTGAAGCATGAGCAAGTACTACAGAGTGGTCCACGACCCCTTCTTCCACTTTTCTTATATTCACCGAGACGCAGGCGTGCGGGCAGGTTGCACAATAGCACTGGGCCATAAGACCCCACAGTGAAAGACAGACGACGGGTCCTTTTAACGTCGTCCGACCTCCCAGTGACGCTTCAACGCGCTTCGTCTGGTCTCGTCTGGTCTCCTTATGACACTGACTGCACTGCTTTTTCCAATTACGAGGTTGGATAATGATTTTGCAGTAGAGAAAAAGTAAAAATTATATGTGCTCCTTGATCTTTTAGCGAGGATGTAACAACTAATGTAATCCGGCTGACAGCCGTTAGGTAATCCGGCAGGTGTAATCCGAAAAAAAAATCGAAAAAATACAAGGTAATCTGGGGAACTGTTAGGGTAATCCAGAGTAATTCTAGAGAAAAATAAACGGTATCGAGAGGATACTCCATAGATAATCCGGTTAATCCGTAATTCGGCTGACACAAATTTTGACAGTCGTTTCCCCCTCATCTCTTAGATACATTCACACTCAAATAAGTTCCTCTGTGTATGATTTATTTTGTAATTTACCAATCACAAAATGTTCTGTACATGTAGAACGTCCAACTCTTGTTCGTCGTTCAATTCTAAGTCGCAGTGCTTATTCACAATTTTGAATTGCAATTGTACGACATCTTTCATGAAAATTTTTCATCTTTTTACGTTTTTTTTAGTGCCGAGGAAAAAATATAGTATAACGATATAATCAGTTTTCTCATTTCGTATATCGCACTGATAATCCGTATCTTTTTTTCTACTGTTGTTCGACAGTCGTACAACAGTTCTGTGCTGCTATGGCAAAAAAGCTTATCCGAGCGACCGCTGCTGAAAATGACTTGGTCGGCAGGAGGCTGCGAAGAAAGACTCAGTTGCTGGGCTTTTCCTATCTGAGTCTTTCTTAGCAGCCTCCTGCCGGTCAAGCCGTTTTTAGTGGCGGTCGCTTGGCCAAGCCTTTCGTTCAGGAAGGTATCGATACAGGCGTGCGGAGGAGTTGCATACTCGCACGCCTGTGTTCGGTATAGAACAACCAGTAGCCAGAACGGCGCCCATGAACCACACTGCAGCAAAGGAAGCACAAACGCAAAGACACTTTTGAAAAGAACAAAGGGTGTCTTTAAGCCGGTACCAGGTTAGATAACAATAATGTGTGATAACAATAATAAGTGCTCGGCAGTATAACATTTGCTCATTGAACGATGTGCTCGTCTAGCCCTGGCGAGAGTAAATACCCGTGTTCCAGTCGAAGCAACGACTGTCCTCGCAGGTGGACCACTCGCCCGCGACCCAGCGCGGGCAGTCCTCGGTGCCGCAGCGCTGGAAGGTGGTGGGCGCGGGCTGGCCTGCGTCCTCGCAGAGCATGGCGTCCACGGTCTGCGTGCTGGCGGCGGGGCTGGCGGCGGGGCCGGCGCTGGGGGGCGCGGCGCCGCGACCCGAGCGCACCGTGCACTGCGCGCCACGCAGCTGGAAGCCGTTGCCGCCGCACGACTCGGAGCAGTCGGACCACGGCGTGATGACCCACTCGAAGCGCAGGTCGGCGGCCGCGGCGGAGCCTGCGAGCGGGGCGGCCCGGTGAGACTCGCGGCAGCAGGCCGAGTTCACAAGTAGGAGACACACTCTACTGTACCTTTCCCGAGCAGCACTCCCGCACCGCCTGCCTGCTCCGTGGTGGCGTCATCCGGGTCCTTCTCCACGAGCAGTGCCGGCCTCTGCGCGCCCTGGGTCTGGGCCGCCGGGGCGCCCGGGTCAGGCCGCTGCTCGAGCTGGGACAGTAGCGGCGGCAGCGTCGACACCCGGTCGGACAGCACCTGCCGCGGGAAAGAGAGTGGCGGAGAATGACGTCAAGGACTCTAGAAACTGGAGCGGTGCGCGGGAACAGGTGCTGTGCCCGTGCGGTAGAGGCCCCGGATCGGTGGCTTCTCCTGACCCAAGCTATTTTGGCTTATTTTCCCGCCCACCCAACCCAGTCTAGACCAATGCGACCCATACGCATGTCAGTTGGGTCTGTCAGACCCACCACGGGCCACATGGGTCCAGTCTGCGCGAGCCTGGACCCACCTGACCCGTCTGGGTCGTTTGGGTCGGCCTAGCAAAATTTCGTCTCCCGCCGCCCCGCATCTCCCTGCCCCTCGCCTGCAGCCGAGTGCAGCGCCAGCTGGCGGTGACAGGTGCAATGCAACCTTTGGGTCGCTTGGGTCAAGCGAACCACGCTGAACCCATTCCGGCCCAACCCGCGTAAAAAACTTATCCGTGTTTTGGACGCATTTTCGTCATTTTTCACCTGTCTGATTACGACCAGCATACTACGAATATACACTGGAAACGCAAGTGTGTGAATGTCGCTCACTTGCAGGTGTGTGAATGTCCATTCGTACTCTTAGGGGGGGTAAACGTGTGAATTTTCTAGGAGAAATTCACATGTTTACGCCCCCAAGTGTACGAATGGATATTCACACACCTACAAGTGAGCGACATTCACACACTTGCGTTTCCAGAGTACGACGAAGTATCGAGGTATTCCGTCGTATTCCAGTTCGTTTGCCGCCGTATCTGGGTCGTGCGGTGGTCGTGCCACTGGTCAAATTCACGACG